GACCAGTGTTGCCAACTGCTTTCAATCGAATGTAGCTAAAACTGTTCACTTCATGTTGCTAGATGACCTCATAAAGGTGAGTTCACTGATCTATATTTATATAGATCAGTGAACTCACCTTTATGACGTCAAGGGAGAGTCTCGGAATGTACATAAGGTTTGTCCATGAAACTGATCTTGTTGCTAGGCTTTTGAAAAAAGTCTCTAAAGGGATGAGGAAGTGTAGTGACAAAAATCACTAAATTGGCAACACTGGCACACTGACTACAAAATAAGTTATTAATATTGAATTGGTCCTCTTGTTTTAGCATCTGTTCATAATTTCTTTGTATGACAGCATGCCAAAAATTATGACCGCACGATTTGGCATGTTTCATTGCATTATTATCACAAATAAAACAACTGACTCTAAGCAACTATGCAATATGCTTGCAAAATCTTGAACATTCATTTATTTATTTTTTTTAATTAAGGGTGAAATTTCCTAGGCCGGACCTCACTTTTGGCCACTACTATATGGCAATTAATTAACTTTCCAACTGACCGCCAAACCATATTGCAAAAACAAGTCACTTTTATGAGGATTGTGGGCTTTCATGGAGTTGTGGAGCCACTGATTGAACTCATGTTCACATCATTGCTCCAACTGTAAACGAGGAGACATACCAATAGAAAACGAAGCATCAGTAATAATCTGTGATAATTTTGCACAATGCAAAGCATTTAAAAAAAAAAACATTTTAATTAAATGATTTTATTGTAGTTACATTAAATGATTGGTGTTGTGCTGCTGTGACTTTACATGAGCAGGCTCACTATTGGCTGATTCAGAAGTTGAGGTCAGCCATTTTTTGTTGAGATCATTGTAGTCCTTAGTTCACAACACTTAAGTGTCACCTCAGTCAACACTTAAGAATCAGTCTTAGACTTTACTGAAAGCTGCTTTTAGCTTCTTTATAAAAGTCTCCTACTCTTAGAAAAGTCCTACTTTTTACTAAGCATTTTTTGAAACTTAAGTCAAAGCTTAAGACTATCCTTAAGAGCAATTCTGAGAAGTTTTATACATACAGGCCCAGGTCTCCAGAGCCAATCCTCCCTATACGCAAAATACGCAAGCTGCGTAGGGCCCCCAGAACACTAGGGGGCCCCCTTGCTCTCAAAGATGATTTAATTTTAGTTTTGTTTTTTAATTTGGCCAGCGGTTATGAAAACACGAATGATCATTTCTTTTAATGTGTTGCGTTGTCGCCCTTTCTACGTAAAAATTTGTCAAATCATGTTATGTGAATGTCGTACAGTCTTGCTCGAGACTAAAGCAACGAGTTGAAAGCGTACCGTGAAGAGACACTGTTTCTCAAGCGCTTTCCGCGATTCGAGACGGAGTGAAACACGAACAAACGCATTTCATTCATTCGTTCATAACCACTCATACCCCACTCCACCCCCCCTCGCTGACACAATTTTGCATAGGGCCCCCAGAAGTCTAAGATCGGCACTGCTGGTCTCATAAAAATACGTACCTCTGGGTACTTTTCTGCAACACCATTTTTACGTACCTCACTGCACGTTTCGCCACAGTTTCAAAGAGAAATGTCCACTGAGTGGCGCAAAAAAATGTTTTTATTACATTGATATAGGTACGTATTGTTGTGTTTTCAGTTTCAAAGAGAAATGTCCACTGAGTGGCGCAAAAAATGTTTTTATTACATTGATATAGGTACGTATTGTTGTGTTTTTATTACGTTGCTTCAGGTATGTATTGCGGTGGTTCAGAATTCAAATATCCGAGGGCTGTCACTAAAATTTGAATGCTCTATCATGTTGGAAATATGCCCTACACCAAACCCAATGGAGAACAGAGCTCCTCACCTCTCAAGTACGTCTCCGTACTCTGTGAGCTGCCGAACAAACCTACCGTCTATGAAAACCCATAGATATGAAGCTGGATATGTGCGATGCAAACATTCAAAAGCATAAGTTTTCAAATCTCCCAGCATATTAAAATTGTTTTGAAGTTATAACAAAATATTCTTCAAGTAATTGTGCGAAAATTACGCTTTATTAATTGAAACTCTGTAAATTTGTGTGAAAAGGAATAAAAGGTTTCAGAGTTTTACTGGCTCTAGTGTACATTTATTTTGGAAACTGCAGTGATATGTACTTATTGGTATGCATTTCGCGTCTCGCGAAAAAGTGCCCCCAGGTACATTTATGCCACGAGACCAGGTAGCAACCTAGTTACTGCTTATTGAAGGTAGTTGTTGTAGTAGTTATGCTTAGGTAAAGTTAAGTAAGAGATCTAGAATATGCAGAATAAGGCATTAATATGTGATTTACTGTATACGTAAGTACTAAAAACAGCCAATATGCTTGTAATATGCATGCTAATAAGCAACTAGTTAATAGTGATAATCTGAAGTGTTGTGTATCAGCACAAGCACATACTTTCCATACAAAACATTTTACAAAATAAGATTAAGCCATAGATGATAAATCAATAGATGTAATGCTCACAATGAAGTCAAAATATGTAGTTTGGCAAACAGTAGTGGCCCATGTTTATAATGAATGTGATGAACTACGTCTGTGGTTACTCTCACTAGTTACTACTCATACCAGTTGCTTAAAGGTCATTGCAAAATGGTTCAGAAAAGTCATTAGTTCCGAGAAAAGCTCTAGAAGCATTTGTTTGCAGATGTTACTTGCTACTGTGTATCTAAGTGTAATAACATTCAGGCATTCAGATTTAAATGTTCAAATAATTGGGGCCACTGTATTTTTCATTAACCAATTCCAGATAAATAGATTGTTTAGAGCTCACGCACACTTTAAATTCATAGAGTCCATTATAAACAAACACTGCATGACACTCCATCAATACCAGATACTCTAGCTTGCATAGAAAATAATTAACTCTTTTCCTGAGATGAAAGGTTATGCCATCACATATTTTTGCCCTGCGGCGTGCGCTTTTATGACCATCTGGAAAATAAGGAACTGATGACATATCATCAGAGGCATCATTAAGACAACATCTAAAGCACTCAGAAAAATTATATCCCAATGGAGGTACCCCGCAGAAAAATACAGTCTCTAGTGACAGCTGAAAATAAGCATGCATGCAGATTAATAATCATTTAGTACAGCCTAGTTGGAGACTTGACACCTTCAATGAGTCTTTTACTGAGAGGCACACAAAACAATTTCTCGCATGAATGATTTCATAGAAATAGCAGATATGAATATAGGGAGGAAAAAGAGGCAAACAAAATCTTAGCAGTTGGTTAGAATGCAATAACAGCCAACTAGGGGGATAATTGAAAGATTGATGTTAGAATGCACAAGGGTTAATGTCAGCCATTTGTTAGATACTGTCTCAGTAAAATGGCTCCCTACTGGCTGATCTCAGGGATTTCTGCTGTTTTACACACTGCAAGCTGCCTAGAAAGAAACAGAAAAGATGCTAATAGCATTTAACTATTAAAACAATACCATCTAAATCTGTGTAGGAATGTGACTAATCTGTTGAGATGTTGTAAACTAATTTAAATTCCAAGATAGTCAACGTTGTATAATCATAATTTTGTTGATTTGTTTGTGATTTTAGTGTGTACTGCTCCTTTATTCTACTACTAATCATATTAAATGTTAAGAGATTTATGTACCAAAACAAAATAAAAAAAATAATAAAAATAATAATACATAAATAAATATTATAATATATTCAAAATATAATAAAATAATTAATTTTATATAATTGCCAATTTCGCCAATATTTTAGCTACCTTTTTAACCTAATTTTTTTTATTTAACAATTTAAGTCATCATTCAGGCCTAAATTACAGATGATTTCCATCATATAATATTTCATGTATGCACTCAGTAATTTTTTACTGGCAGTCATCTTGGATTTGTGGATGCAGTATCATGCAAAACAAAACAAAACCAAACAAAAAAAATCTGTTACCAGTTGTTTTCAGTTTTCAGTGCCATTGTAGAAAGTAAAATACAGTTAAGCTACTGTTTTTTTTTTTTAAAAAACGTTAAAAATCTAAAAAAGTAAAAAATCTAATACTTACTACAGGAAATCGAATAATTTAATCATTTTTGTGATTTCTGAACGAACCGGTTCTCTAGAATGTATCAGACTCACATAAGGTACGTCCCAATTTGCTTACTTAAGCACTATTCTATGCCTTTTTGTAGTATAAATAGTGCAAATTACTGTGTTCACACTGAAAATTCCACGAAAGTGCACATGAAATACACTTAAATAACAAAAAAAAAAAAGTGTGAAATGTTGGATACTTCATGCACTTGACAGTCGCAGCTTTAATTAGTGGAGGGGAGGGGCTCCGATTATGAATGACGGAGTAACCTTATATAATTCATACACTACATGGTTAAAATAGATTAAGTAGTGCATAAGTGTAAGTGCATAGTGTATAGTGTGTCGGTTGGGACGCAGCTATACAGTATGGGAGTGATGAACCAATACACTAGAATGAATAAGACTTTCAAAACATGACGTAGCATGAGTAACATTCATCTGTGATCTCCACATGTCTGTCTCCATTACCCAACAACTGACATTTAAAACAAAACAGCTTTTATTGATATTGACTTCATTTCATATAAGTGTGTACACTTTTTTTAGTGCCTTTAATTTCAGTCTTTATATGAGGGGGAAAAAATGTACTGAGTGCACCCACAATGATATTACACTCAACATAATTGTAAAAGTAAGCAATTGACATTCATTACAGGTGATGCATAAGCGATATAGACACCTTCAACCATCATTATTTGATGAAACGGTGAGGTCTCAGTTTCCAACTCTCCTGTTGTGCACAAGATCCCCTGCTCAATAATTCATCAGGGCTATGGAACGCAGCTGGACTGCCCGAGTCTCTCCTCAATACTTATCTACCACAGTTCTTCCTCCTGTTCTTGTTCTTCCTCCTGTTCAAGACCATAGGGGATTTCAGCTGTAAGTGATCATGGAGGAGCTTCAGAGGCAAGCACTGATCGAGGGCAAGCCCAGGAAGGTGAGGTTCAAGCTGGCCTCGTCGTACAGCGGCCGGGTGCTGAAGCACGTGTATGAAGATGGACAGGAACTGGATAGTCCAGAGGAGCAGTACCCTCACAGCTTCATGCACACCAAGATGGAGATGGGACATCTGTGTGGCTTAGAAGACATGCCGGACCAGAGTTTGTACCCTCCGACAGGCCTGATTGCCCAGAGAATAAACGTCTATCGAGGAGTGACAGGATGCAGTTCCTTGGCGTGTGGAGATCTTCCAGAAGGGGATAATGAAGTAAGAATGCACTGCACTGAAAAGTAGATTGCTCTCTTTGGACTGAACATTGATACTTATTATTTTTTTTAAAGATACATTAAAAAGATTAATACAGTACATACATTCATACAGTACTTGACTAAAGTAAACCTCCTCTGTGACATATATTTTTAATTCAGTGAATTCAAATTTAAAGAGTAGATTTCTAAGGACTTGGCTTTTAAGAGATTCGTCTTTTTCTTTATCATTAACAATCTTTGATCCTTTCACTATTGTTCATAATTAGGATTATTGTAATATTTGTGTAGCTCACCTCTGTTCCCACTTTGGTTATAAACAAAACCTCAAATCACTCTTATTGAGGAAAGCTGCAACTGCTACTTCTCTGATTCTCGCCTGGGAGACATATAAGATAATAATTCCATAAACTTACACTGAAGGTGGGATGTGAGCCATATCTAGAGATATGAATATCATAGGGTTTGGGGCTCTTTTGACTTGAGCGAGTCAGCAATCATGTAGCAACCACCAAGAACACGCTAGCAACCATCTACACCATCTTAAAGCCCTATCAAAGACCTTAGATATACCAAGACGGTGCACTCCTATTACTTATAAATGGGAGAAAGTGCAACGTGCAATATGGTGGAATAGTCCCACCTTCTCAGTAAAAGAGCCAATCGCTAATTGGTAAAGTCATCGCGGAACTGCAGCTGCCATTGGAAGCTCCGGTTGCTATGGAAACAGTCAGTGTTCTGAGATGCACACCTTCTGCACATGTACATTGGCTTTAGCTTGTTTAAATGCTGTTTGAGCATGGCAAACAACATTTATGAGGCAGTTGTTATCAGATTTTATTGGCGTAAGCCTGGCCACAGCTTTGGAGAAATTGATGTTTCCCCACTCAAAAAGATAAGAACTGTACTTGCATTTCTGAAATAGCTGCCTGAGAGGCGTTTCAAAGATGGCTGCCAGGTGAAATGACTTGCCTTAAAGGGACTTTTGCCTTATAAACCAATCGGAAATCTTAAAAATGTCACTGTCCTATCAGTTATTACCGATGTTCTCTTCACTATGTTATCATCGCTTTCAAAAGACGCTTCTGTTTTTCAAGTGTTTGCCTTGATTCTGATTTGCGGTGTCTGCTGCTTTTATTATGGTACTGCATACATGTTTCATCAAATTTGATAATGCTTTGCAGAGCCAAACTTCATTCCAGCTCTCATAAGAATAATACCTATTATTTTTTTTCCCGATGTTATGAGCACACTGGAATGTAAATTGCCGTTCCTCACAGTAATCATCATTTTATTCTTATGGGACATTTTGTAAATCTTGCAACACTAACTAAGGTGGGCGAAGTTTAGAAAATGGTCATTTGTTGTAGGCGAAACACAATGTGTGTTTTGTAAGGATTCCTTATTGTCCTCCTTAATATGTTTTGTTTGGTATGTAAAACGTTCCTTGCCAGATTTTCTCTTGTTTTGTCTTAGTCCACAGTCACAGTGCTATTTTTGAATTCTCAGTTTTATGCCACACTGTTACTAATTCATAGTTCCCAGGTCTAATAATAGACCCACACTCCAACACAGCTTCTAAACATAGGCATGTAATTACATCTCATCCACATGGATATTCTCAGCTTTCCTTTCCAGTGTGAACTATGTTGTGTTTCTCTGCCTCAAATCTGGAAAAAAGAGAGAAAAGAACATCATTCAAATACATAGACTGAAAAAACATCAAACAAGTTGGATCCTTAAAGGGTTAGTTCATCCAAACATGAAAATTAGGCTGCGTTTTACTCACCCCCGAAGCATCCTAGGTGTATATGACTTTCTTCTTTCAGACGAATCCAGTCGGAGTTATATTAAAAATGGTCTTTGATCTTTCAAGCTGTTTAATGCCACTCAGCGGGTGTTGCATTAATGGAGGGGTGATTTTTATTTAACTTCTTTTGGACAGAAGCAATGCAACACCCGCTGAGTGGCATTAACAAGCTTGAAAGATCAAAGACAATTTTTATTATAACTCCGACTGGATTCGTCTGAAAGAAGAAAGTCATATACACCTAGGATGCCTCGGGGGTGAGTAAAACGCAGCTTAATTTTCATGTTTGGGTGAACTAACCCTTTAAGGATCCAACTTGTTTGATTTGGCTCAAGGGGATGTAGGTTTCAGTTTGGCCTGCGTCATGTCCTAATCCTATTTCCCAACTCTCACCTCAGTGGTATCCTTTTTCTCCTGACTTGTCCTGTCCTTAAAAGACACAAAAAAGTCCAATAAAATCAAACAGATCCGGAGTAAATAAGATAAGCATTTTATATTGTTTTATCCATGCATTTTACAAGATTTTACAATGTTATTTAATTTACATTTTAGAATTTACACAGAAAATAATCACCCACCTTTAAAATAATCACATTTTGTTGCTTTGCAGCCTGAAATGAAGACGGACACAGTTTTTGTTTTATCCAGCTGTATTTACTCAGTACTTACTGACTTGGACTTACAACATCCAAGTAAAATATATTACACCAACATAACAGAAAAATAAATAAATAATTAAATAAATATAATCCCTGAGTTGGAAAAAGAGTCACCCCCTTCCTAAAAATGACTTGTAAACTCAATCAGGTGTAGCTAATGATCTTCTCAATGGCACACAAATCCATTTGACTTTCAACTGGGATCAGCTCAGCATGAAAATAGCTTTCCTGGAGCATTTCAGTCTTTGATAGTGGAACTGAAGCAAACAATCAACTACGGGTGGCAAGGCACTGTCAAACGATCTCCAGGATAATGTTGTGGACAGGCACAAGTCAGGAGATGGATACAATTTTTTTTTCAAAGGCTTTATCAATGCCTAGAAGCACAGTGAAGTCTATTATTAAGAAGTGGAAGGTATTTGGTACAACACAGACCCTCCCTGGATCAGGACATCGCTCCAAACTGGATGAAAGAGCCGGAGGAAACTGGTCAGAGAGGCGACCAAGAGCAACTCTGTAGCAGCTGCAGGAATTTATGACAAAGAGTGGTCATTGTGTGCATGTGACATGTGTGGTTGCAAGAAAAAAGCCACTCCTCAAGAAAGGCCACATCCAATCACGACTGAGCTTCGCTGGAGTAAAATACCGTCAAATTCTTGAGGAAAATCTGCTGCCCTCTGCCAGAAAGTTGTCAATGGAAAAAAGTTTACCTTGCAAACATAACAATGACACAAAGCACACAGCAAAACTGAGCACACAGTGGTTGAAGGAGAAAAAGATGAATGTCCTTGCATGGCCTAGTCAGAGCCCAGACTTAAACCCCACTGAATATCTGTGGAATGACAAACGCTCACCATTAAATTTAAATGAACTTGAGCAGTTCTGCAAAGAAGAGTGGGCAAATATTGTAAAGTGTAGGCTGCAATTAAAACAAAAGTTTTTTTTTGACATTGGTACTACACTTGGATGTTATAAGTTGCACTGAGTAAATACAGCTGACTAAAACAAAAACTGTGTCTGTCTTAATTTGTGGCAAAGCAACACAATGTGATTATTTTAAAGGGGGGTGATTCTTTTCTAAACCCACTGTATGTAGTATATATATATATAGAGAGAGAGAGAGAGAGAGAGTTGTGGTCAAAATTTTACATACGCTTTCCAGTATCTGCAAATTGTTTTACCAATTGTTTTACCAAAATAAGAGTGATCATACAAAATGTGTGTTATCTTTGATTTAGTACTGACCTGAATAAGATATTTGACATAAAAGATGTTTACATATAGTCCACAAGAGACAATAATAGCTGAATTTATAAAAAAATGACCCCATTCAAAAGTTTACATATCCTTGATTCTTAATACTGTGTTGTTACCTGGATGATCTACAGCTGTTTTTTGTTGTTGTTTTTTATTTGTGATAGTTATTCATGAGTCCCTTGTTGATCCTGAACAGTTAAATTGCTCGTTGTTCTTCAGAAAAATCTTTCAAGTCCCACAAATTCTTTGGTTTTCCAGCATCTTTTGCATATTTGAACCCCTTCCAACAGTGACTGTATTATTTTGACATCCATCTTTTCACACTAAGGACAACTGAGGGACTGAGGGACAACTATCACAAAAAGTTCAAACGCTCACTGATGCTCCAGAAGGAAAAACTAACAATTTATGAGAATAACAACATATTTTACTATAGTGTCAGTTGATTGTTTGAAATTACTTATTTCTATGAACTGATGTGTCTTCTTATCATAGAAAGTCAGAAATGATTAATAAATCATTATTTTATTGTATGTCGATTAGCATTCCATTATAAATATACATCATCCTTATGAAAATACCCAAGATGGCTTGAAGAACAGATAAAACATATACTGTTGCATTTCATCAGTCAAACACTTCTTTCAGCATTTTATTCAGATACAGTGATAGATAGATTTTTTTGTCCATTTAAGGGATTTCCTGGAAAGTCATTGTTTTATTACTCCTATGAGTCTCGCTTGTGAACTTTCAGTGCAAGGGCGCCCTCCGGCATAGAGTATGAATGAAACATAAATTACATGTAAGAGTTTAGCACTCTGTACATGTCATGTCATTGTTATCACCAATACTGGTATACCACAACACCCCTAATTAACACGATAACAATATTACATTTTTTATATCCCAATTATTGTTAATACCAGTATATCGCAACATCCCTAAATTACAGTTTATGCTGCGGCGCCCGGGGAGCAGTTGGGGGTTAGGTGCCTTGCTCAAGGGAACCAAGTCGTGGTATTGAAGGTGGAATATACTTTTACATTCACTCCCCCCACCTACAATCCCTGCCGGTTCGAGACTCGAACCCGCAACCTTTGGGTTACGAGTCCGACTCTCCAACTATTAGGCCACGACTTCCCCCCTTTTTACGTGTTTCGTTGCATCGCGCCACGTAAACATAAAACCATGTCTGCATTTGTGATCGGAGAAACGACAAACAAGCGCTACTCTACACTGCTCAAAACTCACGTTTGAATCGTAAGTGGCAAATTCTTTAAATATGAAAACGTACTTACAGGCGGTGAGTCGGAACAGCCGGCATTGTAGTCTACTCTACCAGGATCAGGAAACAGTCCTCCATAAAATGCGCTGCACACATCTGAATATTTGGGTTGAAGTGTTCTGGAACAGTGTTGTAAATACAACTTAACCACTGATTTCTAGTCGTGTCCTCTTTTGGAAAGCCAAACAAAATATTTTCGCTTTAGCAACGAAACAGCGTCTTCACGACATGGTGGTGGCAGCAACAATACATTTACGCCTTCTTTCTTTGCATATACATTTGGGCGGCATTATGCAAATCTTCCCACACAGTGACGTAGACATGTGGGGGTGTATTTAAACGAAACGTTTTAGGAGGGCGTGGACCAGTCTTAACTTTTATAAAGAATATCTCTTTGGGTTTGAGACTTTAGTCTTTGCAACTTTAGGGATCTTATCTATTCACGAACAGCTTGCAACACTCCAAAGAGAAAGGAAAGCTTGAAATCACATCATATGACCCCTTTAAAAGCAGATACACAAAATAATAAAAAAATAGTAAGTGCATTAGTATTATACATTATTTACTATGTAATTACATAGTAGCAAACACTATGTGAATCTATGAACCATATGAGTCTGCATGAACTATGGTTTGAATCTTTTTCTTAGTGATTCTGTGTTTATTTATATAGGCACCAGTACTAGATTTTGGAAAGATTATTATCTACACCAGCAACCTGAAGATTATTCGAGCTCCTCACAGAAGGGGAGAATCTGGAAGAAGTCCTCACCGCAGCCGGGACAGGAAAGAAAGTTCACCAGGACGGGAGCCCCGGAGCAAAGGGAGACATAGAACAGCACGTTCCCAAGCAGAGGAACCAGATGTGATGACTGAACAAAAGGTATAAACAGTCTGCAGTTCAGTATACTGTAAATACTCTCATTGCTTCTTTTGTTCTACTAGACAGATTTTAATTAATCTGCTCATACCATAGTTGCTTGTACTAACAGTCAGGTATCTGAACAAACCTTGAACAAACTTTGACATGTAACTCGTACCGCTAAGGACATGAATTATATCTCAAATCTTTTGACTTGTTGAGGAGAAGCATGCTATTACTGTTCCAAGTGATAAGACAACAAAACAGAAAATACCATAGAGTCTTGGTGACATGCTTTTTTTGATTCGGTACCAAATCACCAACAGAAAACATCCTTCATGGTGATATCCTGGAGTAAGTATTCGATTGTTCCATATACCATTGTTTCAAAAAAGATAACATTGGTTTTATCACTTTGTTCATTTATCTGTATTGTTTAACAAAGGCTGTGGTATATTTTGTAGTTTCTCAGAGCTGCATTCTACTTTTATAACTCGTAGCATTCGCAAAGCAATGATTAAGACATTTGCAAAATGTTATCCACTGCTGAAACACAATTCATCATGAATAATGACTCTTTTCTGAAACACCACTGAAAACAATGAACCATGACATGAACTGAATTATATCTCAAATCTTTTGACTTGTTGAGGAGAAGCATGCTATTACTCTTCCAAGTGATAAGACAACAAAACAGAAAATACCATAGAGTCTTGGTGACATGCTTTTTTTGATTCGGTACCAAATCACCAACAGAAAACATCCTTCATGGTGATATCCTGGAGTAAGTATTCGATTGTTCCATAAACCATTGTTTCAAAAAAGATAACATTGGTTTTATCACTTTGTTCATTTATCTGTTTTGTTTAACAAAGGCTGTGGTATATTTTGTAGTTTCCCAGAGCTGCATTCTACTTTTATAACTCGTAGCATTCGCAAAGCAATGATTAAGACATTTGCAAAATGTTATCCACTGCTGAAACACAATTCATCATGAATAATGACTCTTTTCTGAAACACCACTGAAAACAATGAACCATGACATGAATCCCTGTACTGTACATTTCACTTCCATAAATCTTTTACTCTATTTAATCTTTCTGTTCTGTCTTTTAGAAAAGATACACCCATTGCAACATTATCTAAAATATGTACATTAAGACCAGAAACAAGTGGTAATAAACCTCCGTACTCAATGGAGCAACACAGTTCAGTCAATTTAACCAACTTGCAAGAAGCATTCTCATCAAACTGTCGCTGAGCATAAAGAAAGAGTTTATGATAATGACAATATAGCCTCTTTTGGTGGAACAGTGAGAATGCAACTTGTACTTAAGTTAAGTTACAATGTACCTATTGTGTTCATGATGTAGGGGTAGGGTCAACAGTGTAATTACAGATATATTTACAGAAATTAATTACACATGTAATTACAGGAAGGTATTTTTAAATATATTGGAAAAAAATGTACACAATAAGTACATTGTACAAATGACTAATTGAAATGGAAATGCATAGCAGTTAATGACACTTAGTATTCAGTTCAATTAGTTGAACTTAAGAATGCTTTTTATCATCTTTATATGTAATTAAATATTTACTCCTACTGTCTCTGGCATATGGTTAAAATATGTACATTAAGACCAGAAACAAGTGGTAATAAACCTCCGTACTCAATGGAGCAACACAGTTCAGTCAATTTAACCAACTTGCAAGAAGCATTCTCATCAAACTGTCGCTGAGCATAAAGAAAGAGTTTATGATAATGACAATATAGCCTCTTTTGGTGGAACAGTGAGAATGCAACTTGTACTTAAGTTAAGTTACAATGTACCTATTGTGTTCATGATGTAGGGGTAGGGTCAACAGTGTAATTACAGATATATTTACAGAAATGAATTACACATGTAATTACAGGAAGGTATTTTTAAATATATTGGAAAAAAATGTACACAATAAGTACATTGTACAAATGACTAATTGAAATGGAAATGCATAGCAGTTAATGACACTTAGTATTCAGTTCAATTAGTTGAACTTAAGAATGCTTTTATACTTAAGTACATCTTTATATGTAATTAAATATTTACTCCTACTGTCTCTGGCATATGGTTAAAGTGTACTGTTGAATGTACTGACAAGCATTTATGATAAACTAAAGTATGTTTTAATGCCATTTCTAATGATACTTGTAAGTCATGTATTAATGTAGTTGTAATTCCACATTTTTAAAGATGAAGTTACAATTTGATACATTGAAAATAAATGAACTTTAAATGTAATATCAAATAACACCCTACAGGTAAAATTATAGTTTATGTAATTAACATGCATTTTAGTATGTTAGTCAACACATTGAAATAAGTGTACAAGAGATTTCATATGTACTTCAAAGAAAAACTTAACTAGATTTAAAGTACATTGCAAGCGCACAATCAGTACAATTAAGCACACTTCTGTTTCTTTAATTAGTTCACAAAATTAGTTTTTTTGTTGTTTTTTTAACATACAATGACAGTCAATTGGGTCCAGTACTATTTGGGCCACAGGGCTCTTCAAAATGTTTTATTTTGTGTTCTGCAGTAGAAGGAAATACAAACAGGGTTGGAACATTAGGGTGAATAAATGATGTGAGAATTTTCATATTTGGGTGAACTTTACTTTTAAAACATGAAGGGGCAACAAGCTGCAGGCTTGTAGTGTGCACTTGGCTTCACCATTTTGCTTGCTTGTGCACCATGCTTGTTTGCTGGTTTGTTTACTTGCTTTGTTTGTGCAGCAGGAAGCAGGCTCCTGTGAACAGTGCGGAGGTTCGGGTTGTGCGCCGTGCTCCCTCTGTCACGGCAGCAAATTGTCCATGCTGGCCAACCGCTTCAATGAGTCAATCAGAGAGCTGCGCTGTCCAGCGTGCAACTCCCACGGCCTACAGCGCTGCCAGTCCTGCACACACTAACACATCTACTGCTGCCAAGCTCTGACGGATGGAGATCAGACCCTTTGAGGTGTAAACGAAAGTGCATTTTGGATTAGTGCTGAAATATAACAGCTTGAGGGCGGAATGTGAACTGCTGGAAAGTACTGCGATGAAAGTTAATACAGATTCACTAGACAACGGGTTAACGGTTGATATGAAATCAGGAAGGAACTGGAAACTCAAAGAGAGGAAGGGAACAACAGAGGTACTGTTGTATACATGATACTGTACATTAGACATGGATATTTTTTGAATATGAAAACACACAGACACACAATACTGTTATATAGTACGTAATTATATAAGATATTAATATCACTCCAAGCTTTTAAAAGAACTATTGAATTTCCAAAATCTAAAATAAATAAATACAAATAGAATATTCAGTTCCGATGGAAATGCTAACCATTCAGAAGAGTGACAGTTGGAAATATCAGAAATGTCATTTATTAAGATTATCACATCATGATCACAGTGGCTTTATTAAGTGTAATTACCAAACCTTAGTCAAAAGTCTCCCTTGCTGAGAAACACCCCAAAACACATATGCGTTACATTTGTTTCAAAAGCAGAAACATATCTGGAACCGTCATGACCACATGCAGAATAGAAACAGGATTGTTGGTGTGTTTTTATATTCCTACTTGTCTTTTACCATCAGTGCTGGGTAGTAATTGATAACATGTAATCTGGATTACATAATCAGATTCCAAAAATGTAAAAAGTGACGTGACGTGGCCAAGTATGGTGACCCATACTCGGAATTAGTGCTCTGCATTTATCCCATCCAAAGTGCACACACACAGCAGTGAACACACACACACACCGTGAACACACACCCGGAGCAGTGGGCTTGTAAGTACTTGTAATTAGATTATATTACATTTTAAGGTACTCAGACTACAGTACAGTTATTTTTTTTATTGATTGCATGATTACATATTATTGACATAATTGCAATAAATTATTCTGAGTTTATTGATTCTCCCTAATTCTTCTGTTTTATCTTTTAACTTTTCCTTTCTAAAATAGCCTACCACTTATATACATATAGAAAGTCTTCCACTTTTGTGGACATTGGTACAAAGACCAGTCAAAAGTCAGGTGGCTACAGTTACACTGAAAACTGAGAGACCACACAGCATTTGACCACTGCATTTACAGAAATCATTTCAATTTTAAGAAAGTGTTTTTTCAACATTTCAGAACTGCATCAACTATGAACACATTCATTTTTTATTTGAATAATCACTCGTTGATTATTTAACCATGTATTACCATGTCTCTCTCTCTCTCTCTCTCTCTCTCTCTATATATATATATCAGTACCCCTGATATTTTAAGGTAATAGGTTAATATTTAAGTAACTCATTTGCATGTTCACTGTTCTCTGATGTTGGTTAATGGTCACATGACATGCAGGTAAACAAAAATTTCATCCTTTTTTAGTAAGTGTTGTATTTTAATTGTTGTTATTTTAAAATGATTTAATAAAAATTTGTATGATTTAATTAATTGTAATCTTTTCATTAAACTCATGAAACCTTGATGTAATGTAATGTTTAATGCACTTTATGTTGTTAATAACAATGAACAGATTATATTTCCTCTCGCTTTGTATTCCTATTTAAATCAATGTGATAAACGAGTTAGGTCAAATGTAATCAAAGTAATCAAAAAGTAGTCTGATTATATTACCAAAATGTGTAATGTAATGGATTACGTCTAATTTAGAATCAGTTACAGTCTACAACTTGTAAGTAATCTACCCAGCACCGTTTGCCATTTATAGCGATTAAACTTTTTACTTTGGTGATTACTTTGGTGTAAATCTGATTATGAACACGTCTTGTTTATACTGTAGTCATTATTGTTGTCTTCAAAAGCCTGGTTGTTTTATAAAGGTAAATACTACAAAAGATGATATTGATAACAAGATTTATAATGCATTTCATAGTGCCTAACTGCATATCTCTGATTCGTCATGCATTATGAAACTTAATTTCAGTAACTCTAAAGACTACTGTAGTTTTACTGCTGTTTTGTCAGATTCCTTGGTATACAATTTAAAATGAACTGAACATTCAAAAATGCATGACTTGAGGTCCATTAATGTTTCTTATTGCTATTAAGAAAATCTGAAATGATCTGAAAAATCTTTCACTTTTGTTTTTGAGAGAGATTTCATGCTGCACAGCACAGAACCCTAATCAATAAAGGTTCTGACCTTCAATTCTAATAACAACACAGATATTGGCAGATTTCACATCGATGAATGAAACTGCACAGGAGCTTGCAGGACGAGCTTTTTTTAAAAATCTGCTCAGATTACAAGCATGTTACTTCTGTTGTTTCAGTTTGGGTGACATGCAAGTTGCTTGTAAATGTTGAGTCTATGGTAAAACTAGTTTGCATAATTTGCAATAAATATACATCTTTAATTTGCCAGGCAATCAGAGACTCATGACAAAAATATTGATTTTTTCAGTCTTAGATTGTCCTTTAATTCTCTAGCATTATATATGCAAGGTAACATGCAGAGCATATTATCTATGGGGGGACAGCCAGGGGTCCCACTAAGGTTCTCTATGCTATAATCTATTCATTAGTCATATTCATAAAAAATTTGTTCTGGGTCCAGTGAATTTAAATGACAGCACTGGTAATGGGGACTGCATTTCAGCTCGTCCAAGAACTAATGCTATGTGCCAAAAACTGGTTCAACTGCATGAAATGACCAGACAACTAATTGTAATATTTTGGCTTGACTTCTTCAATCCATATTCATACTTGGCCTAAATTATTTGGTTACTGCATAGGGCAGCGCAGAGGCATAGTTATTCTTCCATTCTGTAAAAGCATTTTTTTCTAACATGATGGATGTAAGAGCTTCCAGTGCAAGCTTCCAGAATGAGAAATCAATGTCATCGAGTTTCAGAGCCTGACTCAGTTTCATAGTGTTTATTTATTATTTTTATTAAGCATCTTTATATTTCTAAAAGCAACTATCCTTAAAAACTTAAAGTCAAAAGGCTGTAAAACATATATATATACAAATTTATATATTATATGTTATATATTAAATGTATAACATACATTTAAAAATTATATAACATACATTTAAAAATTGGAAAATTAAATATATAATGTTATACATTAAATTGTAAAGTGTATTAACTTTAAATGTAACAAACTGCAGTTGAAATTGTAATCAAGTGTTTTATGTGCTTTTGAATGTTAGTTAACACATCAAAATAAGTGTACTTTAAAGATTATTAAAACATAATTATTTAAAATGTATTTTATTCACAAAATACATTTAATTTAATGTTACAAAATGCACTTTTTAGTGTGTTAAGAAACATAGTCATGAAAACATTTGAAGCACACTACAAGTCCACATTCAATACTGTTAAGTACACTGCTTTTTCACAATTGTGGCTAGGATTCTGCAGGATACCTGTAAGATCTTGCTAACACCAGTTTTGCCGTTTAGCCATAAGACTGCAAAACATAACACATTTTGGGACTGTACATTTGTAAATAACTCGAATCAAACTTAACTCATCAAAACTTTTCATCTGTAAATAGCACATATGCACATCCACAATTCTGTCTACTGATATTTTCTTTTTCTCTATATTTTATTACTATATTGTTTTAATTTATTGTCTATTCTCTTTATTATTAGTGTTTTATTACCTTAAATTGTGTGTATGTCTGCACTATGTCTGTACTTTCTGTACTGGAAGCTCCTGACACCAAGACACACTTGGCAATAAAGCTCTTTCTGCTTCTGAATGTTTGCTCCATTTCATTTAAAGCCAGATTTGAGATATTCCCACATCATATTTACATTTCAGAAGGGAGTTTGATTGCTCAGCAGAGGCCTATAACGAAACAACATTGTACTAGTACAGTTATCTTTAAGCTAACTTGATTTCGCAATGGGTTTACCCAAATGGCGTCCCATTGCACTGTAACAAATTTCGTCTTTCGACTCAGATTTCGACCCATAACATTTCAGCTTCCTATTAGCCTGACCTGGCATCTTCAAATAAACAAATCTCTTGGAATCCCATCTTTCATCTCAAAAACAGTCAACGTGTCAATGAAATGCTAGGCTTGTTCAACAGCATCCCTCCCCAACACACACAAACAAGAGAGAAAGAGAGAGACAGAGATGAATGTAAGCTTGTCAGGTTGCTCTTTGTTTTGAAGAAGTGGATTTTCTCAAACCAACCAAGCCAAACTTTGTCTAGTTAGGCAGCAACGGAGTGTACAAAATGTCAACAATCTGAAGCGGGGGTTGAGCAAGTCTGCAGCTAATGTTTTAAACATTGTACTAGTACAGTTATCTTTAAGCTAACTTGATTTCGCAATGGGTTTACCCAAATGGCGTCCCATTGCACTGTAACAAATTTCGTCTTTCGACTCAGATTTCGACCCATAACATTTCAGCTTCCTATTAGCCTGACCTGGCATCTTCAAATAAACAAATCTCTTGGAATCCCATCTTTCATCTCAAAAACAGTCAACGTGTCAATGAAATGCTAGGCTTGTTCAACAGCATCCCTCCCCAACACACACAAACAAGAGAGAAAGAGAGAGACAGAGATGAATGTAAGCTTGTCAGGTTGCTCTTTGCTTTGAAGAAGTGGATTTTCTCAAACCAACCAAGCCAAACTTTGTCTAGTTAGGCAGCAACGGAGTGTACAAAATGTCAACAATCTGAAGCGGGGGTTGAGCAAGTCTGCAGCTAATGTTTTGACAGGTCTCGGTGATGTCAGAAAGTCGTGCTGTGTCAAGGATCAGAGATGCTACTCCACTTTCTGCTTAATTGTTTGTACTTGCCAGTGTAGAGGTGGTCAGATGTCTAGTACTCCCTAGATGAGACATCATGTTGTTCATTACAGGAAAGCATTTCAAGGAAATATTGGAGGTGACCTGGTCACAGAACGGCATAGTTGAACAGCAGC